GTCCCTTTCAGTCCCCTCTCCTCCCTCCAGGTACCCACGTTGACTGTCTATTCCAGAATACCTCTGATCACTTACTCTCAGGCTCTAGGCCCATAGGTTTCCTTTTTTCATGCTCTTTGACTCAATCAAGCTCCCATCTCACCTCAGGACCTTTGCACGGGTGGCTCTCTGCCTAAGACCTGTGTTCTTTGTAACTTTTCTCTCACCCAGCTTCAAGACACTGCCTCTGGGGGCTTTCCTTGGCCTGAGAGTGAGGCTCTTGTGTGCTGTTTACCCAGGGACCTGCCCACCTTCAGAGTGGGCCCTAGAACTTCATCCACTTCATTTCCAGGCTGGGGGTCTAAGCTCTATCAGAAGCAGAGCTGAAATCCCATGATTAGGGCAGTGTAGGGATCAGATCATTGGTAAACTGAAGTCGGAGGGGTTGTAGCCTAAGAAGGGCCCCAGCCAGGGAGCCCTTGGGGAAAGACTCTTGGGAGGGGCAGGACAGGTCACAGAGGAAATAAACTTACCCGACGAGCCTTGTTCACCCTTGATCCTGAACAGCTCTGTAAGGGAAGGAGAGAGGGCTGTGGGTTGAGCTTGGGGGAGGGTGGTTTTTCTTCTGTGCTTCCCAGAGAGCTTCAGGCTTTGCACTGGAAGGCTGGGCCCCCGTGGGTCTGCCAGCCTTGGTATTTGAACAACACCCCACCTGAGTGTGTTCAGAAAAGGTATCTTGGAAAGACTAGGAACTGGGGACCCCTGAGGACTATGGAAGTGTGGAAATGAAGCTCAGGTTGTCTGCATATACCATATACCACTCAGAGCCCCAAACAGCTTGCAGAGGCTCCAAAAGTTAAGGGACAGCCTCACTGTGTTGATCAAAATGACTCTTTTGCAGACTAGGGATGTGACTCAGTTGGTAGAGTGCTTGCCCAGCATGCATGAAGCCCCGGGTTCCATCCCCAGCACAGTATAGAACAAGAGTGGCAGGACCTGGATTTCGAGTGAGGCTGTTCACACAGTGAATAAGTTGCTCCTGATTGTGGTGGATCTGGGTAAGCTGGTCCTGCAGGACTCTCAGTTCTGGTGAGCCCAGTGCCAGTTGTCTTTGGGGATATACCAACGGCATCAACTTTGGTTTTTCCTCTGTGACCACCAGTCTACTCTGGGCATTCTTCTGCAAGGTCCAGAGCTGCTCCTGCAGATTCAAGACTGGAGAGCCCACCCCAGGACTTTGCTGAAACCTGAGACATAAGGGTGGATCCCTGCCATTCTGTGTCACACATGTATGACTTCTGTAGGGCATGGATCCACAGATACAAACTCCATGTGCTATGGGGACTTGTGAGCTCAGAGTCTTCCCTACATCTTTGTGTGTTTGTGTGTGTGTGTGTATGTGTGCATGCATGTGTGTGCACATGTGTGTGGGTGTATATGCATCTGTGTCCATATGTATGTGTACATGCATGTGGGGATGTATTTGCATGTGTATACATATATGCATGGACACCAGAGGATAGCCTTTGGTGTCATTTCTTTATCTATTTTGAGGTAGGTCTCTCACTGGCTTGGAACGTACCTAGGCTAGACTGGCAGGCTAGCAAGCTCTGCCTGTCTCTGTCTTCCTAGTGCTGGGATTACAAGTGTGGGCCAGCAAACTTGGATTTTCATTTTACTACTTTTTATTATTTATTATTTGTTTGTTAATTATTTATTTATCTATCTATCTATTTATTTATTTATTTATTTATTTAGGGATCAGGGTCTCCCTGTAGCCCCAGATAACCTGGAACTTGCTATGTAGGCTGGGCTGACCTTGATTCATAGAGAGCTGCCTGCCTCTGCCTCCCCAGTGCTTGGAATAAAGGTGTGCTCCATTACACCTGTCTAACTTTGACATTTGAACTGGGAATTATTTTGTGTGTTGTGTACATACATGTTCATGTATATGAAGGTGTATTATGTGTATGAGTGCACATTTATGTGGAGGAGAGGACAACCTCAGGTTGTTCCTCAGACACTGCCTATCTTGCTTTTTTGAAACAGGGATGCTCATTGGCCTGGAGCATGCCAAGCAGGCTAGGATGGCTGGTCAATGTGCCCCAGGGACCTGCCTGTCCCCACTTCCCAGTGCTGGGGTTATAAACATGTATCACCATGTGTGGCTTTTTATATAGGTTCTGGGTATCAAACTTGGGTTCTCATGCTTGAAAGGCAATCAGTTTAATAACAGCTATTGTCCCAGTGTTGGGACTGGGAATATTTTGAAAGTAAAATCATGGTCAAGATGAACATGCTGATTGACAAAGTACTTTCCCACCCAGAGGCTGGGAGTTCTTTGTCAGGTGCCTATTAGAAACCCCATGTGAAATTACACACCTGTCATCACTTTCACACACACACACACAAACACACACACACTTCCTTCACCCCTCTATTACCGTGGTAGAACTAAGCCCCGAGTCCCAGCAGGGGGGCAACAGTACTCTCAAGATGCCCTAGAACCAGGATGAGCATTCCAGGAAGATCACACAGGACCAAGACTGCTTTACCTTGAAAGGCCAGCAGTGCAGCACCCACTGTGAGCAGGATCAGGTGAATGACAATGACCACCATGCAGAAGTTCCCCCCACTTCTCTTCTTGGGCTTCTGTGGATCTGAAATACAGGATGAGAGGTGGGGGCTGCAGAAGCACAGAGCAGTAGGCCAGGCTGTGCCAGGCCGCATCTGAGAGAGCAGAGGTTTTCCTGAGAAGCTTTGTAGGAAAGACACTCAAATCTTCCTTGTCCCTATTTTTTCTATGAGGCAAAACATGCCACCTTCAGTCCTCCACAGATGTGGTTGGGGAGGTGGAGACCGGCAGATCCCCGGGGCTCTCTGGACAGCCAGCCTAGCTTACTTGGTGTGTTCCAGGCTAGTGAGAGACACTGTCTCAAAAATAAAGTGGAAGGTGCCTGAGGAACAATGCCCAAGGTTGACCACTGAGAAACCCACAACTTAAGAAGAGACAGTATTAAGTTCATACATGTGTTGGAATCACCCAACATCCAATAAGAATTTTAAAGCAGTCAGGTGTGGTAGTGCACACCTTAGTCCCAGCACTTGGGAGGCAGGCAAATCTCCTAAGATCAAGGGCAGCCTGGTCTATATAGCAAGTTACAGGCCAGCTGAGACTATAGAGAGACCCTCTATAGAGAGACCTCAAATTTTTTAAGCAATATAGTAAAGTAAATAATAAATAAATACAAAGCCTCGAATTTCAGACAGACTGAAACATCTCTCAGTAAAATTTAGTGCACAAAGAATCAAAACTTTTATTTTAGCGCCCCCAGGATTGAATTCCTAGATGTTCTCATTTAAATGGCTATAATTGGATTCTTTTCAAGACTCCTGAAGTTAGAACTTCATGTTGTTGTCACTAGAGAAAAACTTCTTCAGGAATTAAACAAGCATTTCTTAGGAGACAGAAAAGTTAATTAGACATTCTTGACCTAAGAATCAGGTGAGGTGCCACCTCTAAGCCCAGCATTCAGGAGGCAGAGGCAGGATGATCACCAAAAGTTCAAGACCAGTCTATTCTACATGGTAAGCTTTAGGCCAACTGGCACTATATAGTGAGACTCTTATTAAAACAACACACACACACACACACACACACACACACACACACTCACACATTCTTGACTTACAGGATTTTTTTTTAAATCAAAGCATACTGTAGTTGTTAAAACAAATCATTTTTAGCATCATTAATGACCACAGTGATAGGAGAGTATTTTTCTTTATTCATTATAAAATTATGCATACTGGGGGCTGGAGAGATGGCTCAGTGGTTAAGAACACTGACTGTTCTTGCAGAAGATCCCAGTTCAAATCCCAGCACCCACACGGCAGCTACCAACTGTCTATAACTCTAGTTCCAGGGGATCCAACAGCCTCTTCTGTCCTCCACAGGCATTGCACGACATGGGTGCACTTACCTACAAGCAGGCATAACACTCATATGTATACAATAAAAATAATAAATAAAATATTTTTTAAAATTACTCACACTGAAAAGTATAACTGAAATATTTTTAGATACCTCACACAACCAGTTAATTTTCTTGAAGGAAGAAAACAGACAAAAACAAAGCATGTTTTAACATTTGAAACAAAACTTTATACTACAATGCCAGTCACCTGATGCTTCTTTGTCACCTTACTTGCTTATCTTGTTACCTCACCCAGTCAGGGTTTGCTTTGTTTAACAGAATATACGGCAGTCCACATTGGTGACAACTGGTGACTTCTCGTGCTCCCAAAATTTACTAGGTCCCTTTGAAATTCTGAATTTTGCACCATTTTAGCTTTTTCTTTATGTGTGTGTATCTGGTTATGATAAACCACTTGTGATATTTTGTTCTAAAATGAGATATTGGTTAGTACATTTTTAGTGTCATACCAGTTGGTTTTTAAAATTTGAATGACCTACAGATTCTAATTTGTTTTTAAGGAAATATCAACAGTTACTCATGTTATCTAAACTCCTTAAAAATAGAGTTAATTTAATCTGGAAGAGTTTTAAAGAGCCATAGAAAGAATGCTTTAGTAAGGGGAGGTACAGATAGGGGAGTGCATCTAAATATGATCAAAATATATTGTGTGAAAACCATAAAAATTCAATTTGAAAAGGGAAAAACATTGAGAAAAGAAAAAAACAAATACTCTTGAAATAATTTTTTAATCTCAGCCCCCCTCAAAAACAGAGAATATAAAAGGAACCAATGGATTTCATACAACTTATACTACTAGTACTGCCAATAATAATAAGAAAAAATTCACCAAATGAGCTAAATAGTATAATAAATATGACTGAGGGAGCAATCATGGATTAGGGAGATAGCTCAGGCAGTAACTTACTTGCCTTGAAAGCAGGAAGATCTGAATTTGATCCCCAGAACCCATGTAAAGATGCCATGCATGGTGTAATACCAGCACTAGGGAGGCAGAGACAGGTGATCCCTGGGACTTGCTGGCCAACCAGCCTACTTGGTGAGCTCCAGGCCAGTGAGAGACCCTGCCTCATAAAACAAGGTGGATAGTGCTTGAAAAATAATAATAGCTGACATTTTCCTGTGGCCTGTACAAACATCAGTGTACCTACCCACGCACATACATACATATGTACATGCACACATACACACAACATATATAGAAAGAAACAGTGAATCAGTTATAGAAGTGTAGAAATTACTCAGTCTGAAAAACAGAAGTCAACTGAAAAAAAAAAACATGAACAGAGCCTCAGAGATCTGTGCATAAAACCCTACATAACCAGTGTTGATGACATTGGAGCCCCAGAAACAGTGTGGGACCAAAAATATTCAAAAAAATGAGAGCTAAAAGTGTTTCATGTTTTGTGAACTATGTAGACCTACCTAAAGAAGCTGAGAGACCCTCCAACAGGCAAACCCAAAGAACATAGTAATTAAAGAGATGAGAAGTCAAGGGACTGTGGAGATGACTCTGGGTAAAGCAGTTGCCTCATAAGCACAAGGACCTGAGTTCAATCCCCAGAAAGAACTCACATAAAAACTGGGTATGGTGGGGCATACTTGTAATCCCAGTGTTGGGAAGGCAGAAACAGGCAAATCCTTTGGACTCACTAGCTATCCAGCCTAGCTTACTTTGTGAGTTCCAGGATAGTAACAGACTCTGTTTCAAACGAAACAAAACAAAACAAAAAAACTTCCAAAACAAAACAAAAACTGGTGGATAGGTCTGAGGAATGACCTGCCTTTGAGGTTGACCCCTGACCTCCATATGCATGTGCACATACAAGTACATCTGCACCCCCCACACATACACACATGTGCACCCACATATACATGAATGCATACACACATGTGCACCCACATATACATGAACCCTTATACATAGAAATACATACAAATATAAAGAGTTAAGGGCAGAGAAAATTAAAGCTCTAAAGAAAAGCATTGCCATCAGTCAGAGAGATAGGACGCATTACCTGCAAAGATGTACTGCTTTGAATGACAGCAGATTCCCTGTCTGAAACCATGGAGACCAGATATAAGTGGCACAGTGTACTTTGTGCACTGAAAGAATAGAATTGCCAACCATGAATTCTCTTGTGAATGAAATATCCTTCAAGAATGAAGGGGAAATGCAAACATTCTCAGATGAAGGGAGACCAAGAGGATTTAAAGGAAGATCTCCAAACAGGACACAAGAACAGAAAGCCTACAATTTCAAAACAGAAAGAGAACAATGGAATGCAGAGAAATAGGGATACATATTAAACAATCTTTCTCTGCAGGAGTTTCTAAAATCACACTTTGTGGTTGAAAATAAATATACTTTCTTCTGATATTGTGTGCAATGTATGGAAAGAAAATTCTTAGGGTAATTATATTTTTTAAGTGGTAAAGGACATAAATGGAAGTAAGATTTCTATACTTGATTGAAGTAGGACAAATATTAATACCAACAGGTTGTGGCACATTCTGCATGTATATTATAATATCCAGAGAAACTCCTAAGAAAACTGCTGTGGTTTGAATGTGAAATGTTCCCCATAGGCTCATGTGTTTGAACACCTTGTTTCCAGTGGGTGGTGCTGTTTGGGACAGTTATAGAGCCTTTAGGAGGCAGAGCCTTATTGGAGGAATTGAGTTATGGGGCTCAAGCCTTGAGGCTTTATATCCTGGCTCCAATTCCTGTAGACTCTATGCTTTCTAAGTAGGGATGCAATGTGGCCAGCCAGCTCTCAGCATCTGCCACCATGTCTTTCCTGCATGCTGCCATGTCTTCTCGTGGTGGTCTCTGTTCCTCTGGAACTGTGATCCAAAATAAGCCCTTTCTCCCTTACGTTGCTTTTGTCAGGGTATTTTTATCAACAGAAAAGTAACTAAGACAAAAAGTAACAAAGATAGGGGGCTGGAGAGATGGCTCAGCAGTTAAGAACACTGGTTGTTCTTACAGAAGACCCGGGTTCAAATCCCAGCACCCACATGGGAGCTAACAACTGTCCATAACTCCAGTTCCAGGGGATCTGATAGCCTCTTCTGTCCTCCATGGGCATTGCACAACACAGTGCAGTTTACCTACAACAACTGTTAGCCTGCAGTTGCAGGGGGTCCAACGGCTTCTTCTGTCCCCCATGGGCATTGCATGACACAGATTCACTTACCTACATTCAGACAATATACTCATACACATGAAAATAATAAATAAAATATTTTAAAAAGGAATTATTTTTTTTAAAAAGTAACAAAGACAGCATGTTCAAAATGGATTTCCAAAAAGTGTTCAAATAGTTCGTTGGAAAGTAAAAAAAAGAAAGAAAATAAATGAATGAGAAAGAGGGAAAAGTCAGAAATTGCACAGTAAGATGGCAGATTTAAGCCCTTAACATATCCATAATTAGTGTACATTTATAATGGTCGGAATCTACCAATCAGAATATAGATATTGGCAAACTGAATTACGAGACTCAGTTACATATTATCTCTAAGAAGTGAAAGAGTAGAACTTTAAAATATATGAAACAAAATTGATAATGACTAAAGGAGAAAAAGACAAATCCATAATTATAACTAGGTATCTTAATTTTAACACCTTGCTCTCAGCAGCTGATGGAAAAC